AGTCTTGAAAGCATATTAGGTTATGGTTTTATAATAGAAAGTACTCAGCAGCAATATGAGCTCAAAGCAATTCACGTCCTTTTTCCTCCCTCGCCTGGCTGCCATTCCTGCGCTGCCTCTTTGCTTGCTCAGTTCTTTGTGGGGGCCATGCTGTGTTCTTGGTTTGATTTGTTCTGAAAGCCAGAAGGTAGTTTTCTGCTCAGATTTACAGTGTGGCTTCACAAAAAGTTGTACTAGTGTAACTGAGTGGTGGATAGGAAAGAGGGGAAAAACCCCTTAGTTATTAATGCCCCATGCTCTTCCTAACATGAAACTGAAGCTGCTGTACTCTCCTCCTGAATAAAACCTCTTCAAATGCTGAATATTTTATTAGATATTTTTACAGGTTTAACTGAAAATTTCTGAGGATCCGATTATTGGCTTATTTATTTCACATGCCAAGTTACAAGCTTAGTTACAGTCTGATAGATTTTTAAGGACAAGTTCTTTACTGGAGCCAGATTTTGGAAAGGCTTGAATATGCTAATTCAGAAGGGGTTTTACACGGGATTTTTTCTTTTTATTAAATCAACAAATCACCCTAGCTTAATTTGAAAAAATAGAGAGGACTGTTTTTCAAATTTAAGATCTGTGATATTCTGGCATGTGCAGTGCACTGAGTGGTCACATACTTGTTTCAGAAAGGGGCTTAAAATAATTCTTTTTCCAGGGGGCTATTTGGGAAAAGTCCCTGGATAGTGTGCTCTTTTAGAGCATGTGAGACATTGGGGTGCAGCTCCCAGAGTTTGAACATATTGTACTCGGGCACAGCAGTTTGTCTCTTCAGAGCCACATACTTCCTTAGTTTATCAGACTGCTCCTGGCAATTCTGTTCAACCTTTGGACTTCATAGCCTCGCTCAGGATGTAGCATTGGTTCCCTAATATCTCTTCTCTTGTCTTTTGCCAAGTTTCCAGCAGGCAACAAGGCCGTGACAAGCAGGGTCACAGGTGTTGAAGGAAGTCAGCAGCACAAACAATTATTACAAAACTGGATTCCATGGTTACAAGGATAAAATACTGCTTTTCTTTATGAATCTGTCATACCATCCCCATCTTCTCTTTTTCTGAGATTATAAGGTGTTTTCTAGATCATTTTCCTTTTGTACCAGTGCTAGGTGTGTGCCTGGGGATTTAGTAGGTGGGGTTAACAGTACTGATAGTATAGATTTTAAAAAAAAAAAAAAGAGAGAGAGTGCCATGCACTCATTTAATGCACATTGTTAGCTGAGATTTGTTGCGTATTTTCTAATGTTGTTTTTATACTGCTGGTTCCTTAAATATGTCTGTCATGTAAAACATGTTAAAACAAGTTATTCACATGTTTGAATGGTAGTAAAGGAGATATTTAGGAAGAAACAGAGATCAGACAATAAGGAAGAGGGTGATTAGAGAGAAACGTTGATCGGGCAATAAGGAAGAGGGTGATAGCAGCTCTGGTATGATGAGGCATGAGATGGCGTCTGACCAACAGCTATGGAATTTGATAATTTTGGAGGAAAAATCATTTATAGCTATAGGTTTAGGACACTAAATATAGCAGAGGAACGTTTAACAAAATCCTGGTTGGCAAAGGGATGCTCCTGCCTCTGCCAAACAAGGTAGAAGGTAGTCAGAAAAGGTTGTGTTGGAATATGGGAAGTACCACTCACTAAAGAAATTCTTCCCCTTAGCATTTTTGGCTGGCTGCTGGTAGTGGTCCCAACATACACCGTCTCTCATGTTTTGTGACCCAAAGCTTTGGAGGATGTATGTTGTTGGGAAGATACACACACGTGAAGTGATAGTGGGAGGACCGCCAGAAAAACAGTAATTATTCTGAATTCAGAAAGTGCCCACATGTAGTTTTTAAAGTGAAAAGCAACTTTGCTGCAGTGTCCTGCCTTCCATACTGTGTCATTAAAGCAGACTAAACTGTCAAGGTCTTTTAGAAATTTTAGAAAAATGTAGAATTTTTTTGACTGTTAGAAAAGTTCTCTCTATACCCAAAGCACTTGAATGCACCCGACCTACAGTCAATCTGAATTAACAACCCCCATCTCATGCTCAGCAGTGCCATTCTCAACCTGTGATTGCGTTGCTTTCCTTAGTCCAAAATGTAGCAGCTCTGCATGGGGCTCTCACTAGTCCTTGTTTATGTACAAGTTTGTAGCAGAGCAACTTGGTCAGTTTTAGTGATGTTAATATTTTTTTAATAGACTATTCCAGCTGTGTTCCTTTGAACACAGTTATAGTGAAATCAAGGACATATTCTCCTTCCAGTATTCGAATTAAGTTGAAACGTACAATCACATTTCAGAAAATATAAACTTACATGCCTCAGAAGGTTTCACTGCTTTAACCATACTGATAAAACAGTGAAAACTTGCGAACGTTTTGAAGCTGAAATTTAGAAAACCTGGGGCCCTCTCAATCACAGAGGTGGTCTGAAGTCCCACTGTCTAATGGTAACCCTCATGTTAGCCCTGTGTGCAGTCTCAGCCCTTTGTTCATTCTCTAATCATCAATCTCCAGTTAATTCAGTGAGACTTGTTGTGGAAAAAGGTGACTAAAGGTATCTGAATTTGCCCTTTAACTGTATGAGGAATTCAACTACAATACAATTCTGATAA